GAACCATGTTAGTAAATCAAAATATTTTGTATATGACTATTAAGCACAGCATATAGCTTATTTAAAAATATACAAAATACAAAACCTAGTAAAATAGTAAAACTTTGGCAAAACTTCGAAACTCTGGCAAAATACTGGTAAAACCTCCAGTAGATTGAAACCTGAGAAAAGTCAAAATGTGGTAAAGATCAAGCCCTTTAAGACTTTAGAAAAAACTGAACCATGTTAGTAAATCAAAATATTTTGTATATGACTATTAAGCACAGCATATAGCTTATTTAAAAATATACAAAAGCAATAAACAAAGTGATAACCTTTTGTCAGTATTCAAGCACTATTAAAGAAAACTAGATTTCTGGCTTTTGAAACTTTGAAGTAAATAAATTCAGCCTTGAAAATTCAAAGCCTAAAATCTTTTTTTTTTTTAGTAGCCTCGATTATATTTAGGAAACAGGTTTAATCAAAACTTTTAAGAAATATAAGTTGAATTCTTAATATTCTTAAAAACAATTCTTCGTGTTAATTTTAAATACTGGTTTTTAGCATACGACAATACTATAATAAAGTAATTACGAATAAGTGAATAAACTTGGCTAGAAATTAAAACTTTGAAGATAACACCTCTGCTATGTTATATATGAATGCACCCTTAAATATATAATAATATCAGCATCTATAATAATATCGGCAGTCTATAATTATATAGACAGTCTATAATAATATTAGCAGTCTATAATAATATAGGCAGTCTATAAAATATTAGCAGTCTATAATAATATCAGCAACCAAAAAAATTTTGACACATAGCATTTTGAAATACTGTGGCTAAAATATTAAAAAAAATTTGACATTACATCTGCTATAAATTATCCATAATTTAGACACCCATATATAATTGCACATAGGTTACAAACAATTGCAGACTATGATAGAATTCTGGTTATGGGTATGTCTGTTTTCAAAAAATATTTTTAATTATTTTGAAATGTTAATTCTTTCTCTACAAAATTAGATGCTGGAATTGTAGTGGAATTTGATATTCCATACTTATTGATGCAAAAGCCAGATTGGTGGTTTAGAGAGCTATGTAATAGAAGTGGTGAATTTTCAGAATTAATGAAAATCGCTAAGCAAAAATATGAGTATATATCATCAATACATTAATGTATTTATTAATATGCAGATTGACATATGAAAAATAATTTTATATTGCATGTCATTTTAGACTTTATTATTACTATAATTATTTTTAAACATGTGCTAAAACAATAATAACATTTTTAGGATATTTGTATATAATCTAGGGTACCCTTATATCAAGAAAATTTGAGATTGGTACTCGCCTAATTGAAATTCTAAATTTTTTTCAAATATTTCTCAACAATCAAATAATCAAATTTTATAAAAATTTTTTTATTTTAATCCTGCATATTTGTAGAATTAAGATAAAAATTTTAAATAAAATATCTCAAACATTTGAAATTTTTATCGCAACTTGATTGATCAATTTATAAAAATTTTTATTTTTACTTAATTATACACAGAGACTTTATATATTGCTATTAAAACTTTTATTCAAACTTACAAATTTTTTATTTATTTTATTAAAAGCTTTGCTAACTGATTTTTTTCTTTTATCAAAAATTTTACTAAACCATACAATTTTACTAATTATTTTAAATTTACAAAACATCAAAACTAAATTTAACTTTCAATGTTGACTTCAACATTGATATCAAAGTTGTTTTCAATATTGATATTAACATTAATATCAATGTTGATATTAATGTTGACTTCAATATTGATATTAATGTTAACTTCAACATTGATATTAACATTGACTTCAACATTGACCTAACTATTTATATCAATATTGACTTCAATATTGAGACCAATATTAATTTCAATATTAAAGTTAAAATCAATAAATATAATTATTTAAGTCAACATTAATATCAATGTTGAAGTCAATGTTGAAGTTAACATTAAAGTTAATATTAATATCAATATTAAAGTCAATATTATAATATCAACATTAATATCAATATTTAAATTAATATTTACTGATCTTGAAGCTAATATTTATTCGATCTTGAAGCTAAAGAAGCTAATATTTATTTGATCTTGAAATTATTATTTATATAAAATTAAGGTTAACTAAAATAATAGCAAGCTAGTTAAATTTTTTAGCTTGCCAAATAGTGGCATGGTTTTTGATATTGTTGTTTTGTGAAGCTTGCAAGCTTGTCAATTACTTTAAGATTAATATTTATATGATTTTGATTAAAGTTAATAAATCTTGAAGTAAATATAAAAAAGAAAAAATATCTAAAACATATTAATTAGTGATTACAAAATAAATATATTATATTTTTGTTATAACAAATTATTTTTTAAAATAGGTTGTTTCTTTATTTTTCTAAATATTATAAAGAAATTATATATTATTTCTGTATTTAAAAATTAAAATCTTACTAAATATATTAACTTTAATATTTTAAATAATATTGTTTAAAAAATAGATTATATATATATTAAAATCTTTGCAGCTGTGAGAACCGAGCTTAAAACGGCGAGCGACCCTTCAAAAGAACTTCCATCCAAGTCATCATCAATATCATTAGACTCCTATGACTTGGAAATATGCTATAACAAATTTCTTGCCTAT